TCCCAGTCAGGGTGCATGTCTGGGTTTCGGACCAGGTCCCCAGTTGGGGGTGGAAGAGGCAACCGATGGATGTTTCTCTCCCTCTTTCTTCCTCCCTTCTCCTCTCTCTAAAAATAAATAAATAAATAAATAAATAAATAAATAAATAATCTTTTAAAAAGCCACTCTAAAGATATCTAACCTCAGGACAGGGGCTCACCTTGCTCTGTTCAGGTTTCCTGAATGGGTATTCTCATTCTGATTTGTTTAATGATGCCACCTGTGATTAGAGAACCAAATAACTCATTTGATTATACTATCAGTTTAAAATATATTTCCTTTGTGGGTATCAATGATTAACTTCCATATGGGTATCACAGCATAGGATTCAAGTATCTGGTAAACACTGAATGAGTATAATGGGTCAGGAAGGGGGGCAGGTTCTGGTGACAGAAAGATGAACAAGAGACTAAGTGGCCAGACCAGGGAAGATGTTAAATGTTGCAAACAATCTCAACAGAACTCAAGTGCTGCAGCAGTTGTGGGCACAAAATGTTATGAGAGCATACAGAGGAGGCAGTGACTAATTTTGTCTGAGGAGAGTCATCAGAGTGTGTGGGGTGATGAGAAGTAACAGGAAATAGAGAGCAAGCCAGATTAAAGAATCCCAGTCCACTTCTCATTAGTCACTCTCCTTGGGCAACTGCATTCACTTCCAAGGCTTCAACAATGACCCCAAGGTCAACAACTTCCATGTATGAAATCTCAGCTTCCAACTCTCCTGACTCCAGGCACATATATATTCTAACCTACCTCAGAACACCTATCTCTGTATGTCTCAGAGGCATCTCATATAAAATACAGGGTTCAGAAGTAAGGCTTGCTTGAGTGTGGTTGGTAGCGTACGTGAATGTCTCGCATGAGATGGACAGCAATTTGAACATTTCACCTAAAATGTCATATGGTGTGACTGAGTGTGATATTGTTATGTTACAGAATTACATGCTTATGACTTTGTAATAAAAGAGTTTGTAATAAAACACGGGGCACTATTTTTGCTGGACCCTGTATATCTCTCTTACCTCCCCAGATTTCTTCTCTTACTCCCATCCTCAGTTTTCAAAGTCAGTGTCTAAAGTATAAACCTCATTGCCATCTTCTATGCTTCCTTATCCCTCACCTTCAAGTGGCTACCAAGGCTTATCAATCCTACTTCAAAATCTCTCTCAAACCAGCACTTACTTCTCTGCCTCTCCATTCCTCTGTGCAGGCCGGCATCTCTCCTCCCTCCAACTACTATAAGAGCCACAAAATTAGTCTATTTACTTGAAACTGTTTTTATTTAATCATTCAACCAATTGCATGCAAGGCAATATGGGAACTACAGCAAACAAGACATGCAAAGAAAGTGCCAGCTTCATGGACCTTTCTTCCTATTTGCTCATTCTAGCCAATTTTCTTTTTAAAATTGATCTAGTCATAGTACATACTGGCTTGAAGTCTTCAGCAGCCTCTCATTGCCTACAGGCAAAAACTCCTTGCACAGCCCACAAGTTCAACATCTGGCAAATCCAACCCTTCTACCCTCTTGTTCTGGCATCCTCTCACAGGCCCTTTAAACTCCAGGCCCATCCAGCTACTTCTGTGTTATTAAAACTGCATGTTTCTTCAGGCTTTGCTTTGGCAAAGGTTATTTCCTATGTTTGGAACACCCTTCCTCTTTTCCCCCTTGGGAATCCCTACCCCTGAGACTCCAAGTTTCCATGCCCAAACATGGCACTCATCACATGGTATATGAATCACGTTTAGAGGTTGGCTTCTTTCACTTGGCTGTGAGCTCCTTAAAGGACAGGAGTTGTATCACACATGAGTTCCCCTTCATAGGACACACTCAGTGAGCCTTGGTTGCATGAGAAAGCAAGGAAGAAGCATAGAAGTCCGGGAATGTTAAGAAGCAAAGGTCAGGAAAATTGGGACAGGCAGCTCACACCTCACCTGATGGCCTGTCCAAAACCCTTATTTTTAAAGTACTTTGTTCCTCTCTGAGCTCTAAGGTAGAGCTTCCTTTGAGGGCATATTTCTCAAAGTACGGCACAGAAAATCCTTGATAACACCATCAGGTAGGTAGCAGAACCCTCCCTTCTCATTTCTCTCAATGTTTCTGATCTGGCTGGAGAAACACACAGTGCCAAGTTGACTGGTCCCACTTTAAATTCTGGACTACAAAGTCCAAATGGGTCCTTAGTGCTGCCCAGTAATTCTATATTTCCCCCTTTCACTCACTGGATATTCCATGTCTTTCCACGCTCCACACATGCACTCTTTTCCCTTTTCCTGAGAAAACATACACAACCAAGTGACCTTCCATAAGTTCCCACTACATCTAAAGTCAGTACTCACTTATTTGCCATGCTCTCCATTATTAGAAATGAACTGTGCCTCCAGCTAAAACCAACCTTGCTCCGCTTGGTCTGTAGATTCCATTCCTTCTTGCTTACTAACATCACTCTAGCAATCCTATCCTCTCTCCTGTTTCTCCATTTTCTCCCTTTCTACCAGGCCATTTCCACCAGCTTACAAATATGATATAATTTCTTTTACAAAAAGAAAAAAAAAAAGACCTGAAACGCTCGTCCCATTTCAGTTACCACCCATGTTTTTCCTTTCTAAGAAAGCTTCCAAGCCCTGGCTGGCGTAGCTCAGTGGATTGAGCTCGGGCTGGGAACCAAAGTGTCCCAGGTTCGATTCCCAGCCAGGGTACATTCCTGGGTTGCAGGCCATAACCCCCAGCAACCACACATTGATGTTTCTCTCTCTCTCTCTCCCTCCCCCTCTCTCTCTCCCTCCCCCTCTCTCTCTCCCTCCCTTCCCTCCCTAAAAATAAATAAAATCTTAAAAAAAGAGAAAGCTTCCAAACAGCTGTATGACCCGCTGCTTCCAATTCCTTACTTCCCATTCTCCTCGAACCTATGCCAATCAGACTTTCACCTTTATTGCTCCTAAAAATTGTTCAAGTTCATCAAAGAGCTCCATTAAGAGAGTATCACAGTTGAAGATTCCCTCCCTCAAACAGGTTCAGTTGGCTTCCAGGATATCATTCTCTTTTGTTTTTTTCAGTGGCTGGATTCCTTCTCAGTCCATTTTGCTGGTTCCTTCCCATCTCCCCAATCTCTTTAGCATTTCCGTACCCAGGGCTTGGTCCTTCTGGATGTAAATACATACCATATTTACAACTCCAGTCTGGGGAGACTCTGAACTCCGGGCTCACATATCCAACTGCCTATTCAACAACTCCACTTAGATATCTAACAACCATATAAAAACCCGACATGCCTAAAAACAAAATCTTGAAACCACTCCCTGCCTCAAATCTGTTCTTCCTATTTTCCTCCACTGAAGAAAATCCATTTTTCAAGCTACTCAGGCCAAAATGATTAGTCACCACTGAACCCTCTCTTTATCTCATTCTATATCCATCTGTTAACAAATCTAGTTAGCCCTACCTTAAAACGGAACTAGAACCCAATCACTTCTCACCACCTCTTCTATTACCACCCTGGTCCAACTCACTGAAACTCACCATTTCAATAACCTCCTGATACTTTCTACCTTCAACATATCTGCCAGACTGATCTTTTTATAACAAGTCAAATCACATCACTTGACTATCCTTCCCATCTTCCTCAGCATAAAAACACATCAAGCACTGCAAAGCCTATATCCAGTATGGCCACCCCTTCCCTCCTGACCTTCCCTCCTCCCACTCTCCCTCTTGCTTACTGCACTCCAGCCACCATGGTGTCTCTCCTGTTCCCTGAACACACTTTCCATCTCAGGGCCTTTGCACTTGGTCCTCTCTCTGCCTGGAAGATTCTCCTCCCAGTTATCCACGTGGTTCACTCCCTCACCTTCTTCCGAGTTTTGCTCAAATGTCACCTTCGAAGTCTTGACTGTCTTGATTACCTTACTTAAAATTACAACTTTCCCAATCCCTGAATTTTCTTCATCACACTCATGACTACCTAATATATGGTTTACTTTGCTTAATTTATGTTGTTATCAGTCTCAGCCTACTTAAGTTCCATGAGAACAGATGTTTGTTTTGTTCACTGTTGTATCCTCAGGGCCAACAATGGTGCTGGCATGTAGACGTGGCTCAAAGGGTTATTTGATGAATGAATAAACAGAGAAATTCTCAGTTTCCTGCTAGCATGCCTTCCACACTGAATACTGCTAATCCTCTTCTAGATCTCAGTAAGTTCGCAGGTAAAAGTATTAAGTCAGAATTTAGTAACATTAAACCAAAATGTTTTCCTTTCATTCAGTTTTTAACTACTTTTTAAGATACTGAGTTTCTATGTGCTCTTGTAACCGTCTTTAACTTAATACATGTTTTTAAGGTTAAAAAGTGAGTTTAAGAAAAACGTTAATAATTTACAGTGGGACTAACAGAAACATGGCAAAAATAGTGAAAGTGGTGCCTGAATGACTGAAGGCTAAGAACTCTCTAGGGTCGAGTGGCCAGATAAAATACAGGACACCCAGTTACACACAATGATTTTTTTAGCATGTGCCCCAAATATTGCATGGCACACAACTGCACTAAGAAATTACTCCTTATCTGAAGACCCATTTTAAATAGGCCTTCTTTTGTTTTTGTCTTTTGCCTAAATCTGATAACAAAGAAACTACTTCGAGCTTCTTGTCGCTTTCGTTTAGCTCTATTCCTACAAGCTAGTTGAACTCTTGTCCTGTCTACAAACTGCGTGGCTTTTATGTCTCTGTGGAGCAGTATTGAAGAAGGACGTTCTAAATGTCAAAGAGACAGAGATACACCGGGCATTTTGGCAGGAGAATGGCCCTGGCAGCTCAGGACTGGCAGCCCCGCTGCATTAGACCGGGTGGTGGGGAGGTAAGGAGGAAGGGAGAGGGGAGGGGTTTCGGGCCCAGCTCCGTTTCCCAACCTCTCAGACACCTGCTCAGCGGAGGCCAAGGCTTGGCAGCCCCTTTCCGGCCCTTACCAATGTTGCCTTCGATGGAGAGCCTTCGGGGCTCGCGGCCCGCGTGCAGGCCCCTGAGGAAGGGCACGCCCTCGAGGGAGGTCTGAGACCTGGAACTGCATAGCGCGCGCAGCAGCCTTACAAACAGCCTGCCTGAGACCATGCTACCCAGGAACCGCGCAACCAGCCCTTCCGCCCAAACCACTTCCGCTTCTGCTACTGCTCCCAACGCGCATTGGCGCACCTCTGACGTCAAGAGATCGTCAGGCAGGAAGTGGGTGGGGTTGATCTGACCGAGAAGGTGGGGCCAAAGGGACCTCTTTGTTCTCGTGTTGTTGGTAGAGAAGCGTTGTGAGAGTCTAGTTTGGGATGAGGGGAAAGTTTGCTGATAACTGGACTTGCAAGGGTGTGATTAACCTTGCGTAACCTTGTGTATTTGCTCACTGGAAAATAACATTTCAAAAGAATTATAATAATTCCATCACCTTTGCGTAATTCTCATAAGTAAAGACAAATCAAAATGATTGTAATTTCAAACAAGCTTCCCCCCCAGGTGTTTGTTATCTGGTATTTATTAAATTGGACTATTTTAAGTAGGAAAATGATGCAAAGTGATAAATTACACAGATTAACTTTTTCCCATTCCCTGCAACGCAGCAGCACAGTGCTGGCACATTATTTAATATAGCAAAAAAAGAATTCGATTACATCCCACCTCCTACTTTGTCTCTTGAATGAATAAATAAAAGTTCGCTCAACCGATTTGCACAGTAGCCAAAAATTCCATTAGAATAAAGTGGGTGGAGGCTCGGATGTGACTGGGACTGGTTTAAACTTGATAAATTGGGTTCTGTGGGCGTGAACAACAGCGGGGGTGAGGAGTGGGGAGGGTGTGAAGTGGTGGGGATTCTGAACGGGATTTGTGAAAGGAAGAGTCTGGGTAGAGAGAAACTAACAAGCTGGTGTATAAAACTGGTGTCCTGCTGTCGGTGGACAACTGCTCTGCAGAGGAGCAGGGCTAGTTCTGAGCTGCTGCCATTGGGTGAGGCCCTGATTGGCTTTGTCCTGCCGCACTCAAATGTCTCAACGACCTCAGATTGATGACATGTTGTCAGGGGGTGCGTACACCTTTCACGCTAAAACCACTAGAGGCAACAGGCAAACCCGTATTCAGGCACCACTTTGAGGTGGGGGTTTTTAGGAAACAGCGACCTGGGTGCAAAGGGGTGGGGAGAGGTCAGTAGCCCGGACACCTGTCTTGAAGCTGTTTGCATAGCAAGCACAACCTGGGAATCAACTCCTTTTTCCTATATTGATGTTTATATGAATGGTTGAAGTGACATTTATATATTAAAAACGTTATTTTAAAAATAGATTGTAAATTTATTTAGGATAACCTGGGTGGAGTGCTGAAGTCTGTCCCATTCCCCACCCCTCCTCCCACAGCCACCTCTGTGTAAAATTACTACTTACATTTTTTTACCTATGTAAACCCAGACTTGGAAAATATTCATCCAAAAAAATTTGAGAGGTTCTCCGGGCCCCCATGTTTTCGCTGCTTCATTGCCCTCGGGGTCTCTCTGAAGGTTAAATGAGGAAGTTGTCAGCAGATTTATGAGCAGACAGGGAACTACCCCGCTCCTCAGTTACTATTTTTTAAAAACTTTAGTGACGTATAGTATGTAGTGAAGAAAAGAGCATGTACCATAAGTGCACAGTTTAATGAAAAATTTCACAAACTGAATACACACCTTTGTTACCTGGATTCGGATCAAGAAATAGAGCACTGCCAGCATCCCTGGAATCCACTTTCTAGCCATTACTACCCCTCCCCCACCCAAAGGTAACTGATAGCCTGAGTTCTAACAGCAGACATTAGTTTTGCCTGTTCCTTATATAAATGAAATTATATAATGAGTACTAATTTCATTCAAAATAATATCTGCGAGATTTCTATATATTATACCTGTAGTTGTAGTTTATTCATTCTCATTGCTGGGCAGTATTTCACTATGTCACTCTACCACAAAGTTTTTTATCCATTCTACTATTGAGGGACATTTGAGAGTTTCTAGATTTGGGTTATTATGAATAGCATTGCTATCAATATTCTTGAATATGTGTTATGGTAAAAATATAAATAGATGATTTTGGGGGTAGATACTTATGAGCATAACTGTTATGCAATAGGCTATTTGTATGCTCAACTTTAGTAAATATTCCTAAATAAGAAATAGATCCACAGTGATTGTACCAGTTGACACTGCTACCAGCAATGACTGAGCACATGCTCTGGTTCCACATTCTCACCAACAGTTGGTATTGTCAGTTTTTTTTTCATTTTATTCATTCTGCTGTATATAATAGCATCTTCTTATAGTTTTATCTCACGTTTTCCTGATGAATAATGAAGTAAGACACCTTTTCGTGTTTATTGACCATTTTAGTAACCTCTGTTGTGAAGGACCTGTTCAAATCCTGTGCCTGTTTTTCTACTGTCTTTTACTCACTGTTATTGTTCACTATATATTTTGCATATGAGTCCTTTCTGAATATTTTCTCTGTTTCTTACTTCTAAAAGCATTAAGATTTTTGATGTATTGTGTAAAGTAAGAAACTAAAGTGCTTTTTACCTGTCAGTTATCTCAATATTAGCAATAATTCTTCTATTTCCCTTCATTTCTTTATGCTTCTTTTATTATGTTATACCATGCATAAAAATTTAGTATCTTTCTTGGTCTTAATTCCAAATTCCTAGAAGAGAGAAACTGTTTGGCCCAGCTGTGCTCAAAAGACAAGTTCTATGGAACAAACAGGAGTGTCAGATCCCCACACATACGTGGGAGGAAGAAGGGCAGTTAAAAGGATCTTTGTTGCTTGACCTGTGTGATTCTCTTAGTTGGGTGTCATCCTGCAAAGCAAAAGGTCGCCCGGTTGATTCCTGGTTGGTGCACATGCCTGGATTGAGGTTCAGTCCCCAGTGGGGTGCATACAAGGGTCAACCAATAGATGTTTCTCACATTGATGATTCTCTCTTTCTCCCTTCCTTCCCCTGTCTCTAAAAATCAATAAATAAAATCTTTAAAAACATTAAGGGATCATCATGAGCAAGGAAGACATGTAAAAAGAATGGTGATCAGTTCCTCCTAGAAGTAGTAAACAGGGTGTTATCATCCCACCTCAGGTGTGGGCCAGAGGTCAGAAAGTAGTGGCAATTTGGTAAGCAGAATTATGTCCCACTTGCCTGGAGGAATGGGTCCATTTCCTGCTCCTGAGGGATTGTCAGATATCTGCAGGAGTTTATGAATAAGAGCTGATTGTCCTACATGAATTCTAGCCATTCAGTATCATTCCTTCATCCAGTGTTTACTGAGCATGTACTGTGTACCATGCACCCTGCTTAGTCCTTGGAGTACAGTTCTGAAGAAATTATTATTTTCAAATGTAAGTGCTGTTGTGACAAATAAATACTGACTCATATATACAAAAATGCTTATGCAGCCGTTAAAAATGTGACCCTGTCTTTCCTCTGCTGCTTGGATGTCTGGTCAGTTACATTCTCATCTACATTAAAGAAATTCTGATGTGCTGGATGAAAGGGTAAAGCCAGAGCCATTTGCTATTGTGCCACCATTTGCCTAGCAGGCCTATGACCTTGTTAAACATGACTGCCATGTCATGTTTACTCTTCTGAGCTTGCCCCACCCCTCAATGCTGGTGTGTCACTCCACCCCAGGCCCCTCTCCTTTCTTGGAGAGTGAATAAAAACCTTATTCTTTACATTTTCTTCTTTTTGTGAATTCTTTCACAGCCTACATCATTGACCACCCTAACACAGGATTATGCTAACTCAAGTTGGTGAGGCCGGGCAGTACACTTGCAGAATCATCTCCTGATAGGGTTGGCTGTGAGTTAGAGTTGGCCAAAAGAGGACCTAGTGATATTTGGAAGGCATATGGGAGCCTCATCAACTCCTCTGGGGAGATTTCTGTTGTCAGATACTGTGACAGACAGATGCGCCTGCAGATAGATCCCAGCTAGTCCTCGAGACCTTAGTGACTCCTTTCTAATCATGCCATAATTCCCTCCTGATATGCACTTCCCCAGCTTCTCTCACCTTTGAGTAGTCTCATTTCTTTTTTTTAAAGATTATTCATTTATTTATTTTTAGAGAGAGGGGAAGGGAGAAAGAGAAGGAAATATTGATGCTAGAGAGAAACATGGATCAGTTGAAACAGAGAAACATGGATCAGTTGCCTCTCACACCTCTTGTATGCACCCCAACTGGGGATCTGGCCCACAACCCAGGCATATGCTTTGCCTGGGAATCGAACTGGCAACTTCTTGGTTTGCGGACTGGCACTCAATCCACTGGGCCACCCCAGCCAGGGTTGAGTAGTCATATTTCTAATAACTCTTATTTCTGCAATGTGCATGGTGGCTCTACTCCCCTGAATGAACTCTGACTGATATACCTCATCATAAAGAGAGATATCAAGGAGGTGATTAAGAGTGTGGGCTCTGGATTCAGACAGCTAGGGATGAAGATTAAGAAAGATAGTTCATGGACAGCTTTTTAACACAATGCATGCCACATAGTTACCACCCAATAGACAGTATATAATAGGCAATGGCTTCTTCAGCTTGGCCCTCCGTGCCTGGGACATAACTTCTATTTATTTTTCGTAGACTTCCTGTTGGATTTTCACTCTTCTTAAGCCATTGTAGCCAATCCATTAAATAATTTTAGGACAGCACTTCTTGGAGTGGGGCAAGACCAGATGGAGGAGGGAAGGGCATGTCCAGTCAACTTCTACTTTCCCCATATGGAGATTCCAATATGCCCCTCTATAGCAGGAAGGATCAGTGCTCCACATCTCCATGACTCCTTGTGTGCATGTGAACACCCTCCAACCTCCTCTCTGTGCTTTCTCTCCCAAGAGCCAGTGCCTGCAGCTCGTCTTTGCAGGACTGCCCTAAGCCCACTGGAGGTCTTTCCCTTTACAAGAGGAAAGCCTGGGACTTTATGTCCAAGGTGTACCTTCACTGACAGGTGGCTATGAAAGCCCAGCTCATCTGGGCATTGTCTGCAGTTAGGCTTATCTTCCAGAGCTCACTGGGGACAGCTGAAACTATGCCTGAGAGGTCCCCTGCTGAGCTTCCTCCTCTTTCCTGTCATGCCTCTTCCACTCTGCTCATGCGT